GAGAGAAGAAAGAATTGAGAGAGGGGAAAGATGAGCTAAAGAAAAAAAGTGAAAGAGTCTGGGAGAGAGAAAAAAAAGATGAGTTCGAAAGAGGGAAGCCAGTCTGAATAGCATACAGCCAAAATCAGATAAATGGAGATTCCAAACATTTTTTGATTGCCCTCCCTCATAGCAGCCTATTCACAGCTGTGCCCTTTTCCCAAATGTCAAAGGTCCCCATAGGCCAATCAAGTTGGAAACATGCTCTAGTCAGCTTCTGTGGAATGAGACTGGCTGCGAATTATCAGTTCTCTCAGATAGCCAAATGTCATGGGCCAACACTGCTAATTTATCCAGAAAATACTTGGATAAAATGATGCTATCTTAAACAATTGTTCATGTCTTTTACATGCTGGCAGCCAGACTAGAAATCTCAGTGCACTGGAGGCAACAGTTGATGCTGAGTGACAACCAGTGGTACCAAGGACTTTGGAAGATGGCCATCACCAACAAATCAACACAACCAATCCATGCTTCTAACAATGCCACCTGGATTTCACTGCATGCTCCTGAAACCCACAGAAACATAAGAAGCTGTCTTGTGCCATGTCAAATGATTTCTCCACACAGCCTAGTACTATCTACTTGGACAGGTGCTGGCTCCTCAGGGTCTTGGGCAAGTCTTTCCCATCATCTAGTACCTGCTCCTTTTAATGTTGAAACACTGAAGATGAAAGGCTGGAAGCTTCTGCATACAGAGAAGAAGCTTCTTGCACCAAGCTGTTCTTTTCCCCTGATACCACAATGAAATAAATCAATGGCATTGCTAAAGTAAAGCTATTTCCTACAGCTTGCTAGTTATTTCTGGTAAGAAAGGAGGCAGGGGAAAGTCACCCTAAATTGCGGAATGGCAACATTTAACTGATCCTGTCAGCTGAATGGGATGTTGGAAAATAGATTTTTCTCCCGTTTCCATTTCTGTGTTTGGCAGTCTCCAGATGCTCTGGACTATAACACCCACAAGGTAATCATGCTAGAACATGTTAATCCAGACATATTCCTAGTTGGCAAAATAACATACCTGAGACTCACTCACTTTGGCCACATCATATGATCACGCTCATTAGAAAAAGATATGCTTGGAATGCTCAGTGGCAAGAGAAAACCAGGTTGCCAAAGAATGCGGTGGTTAGACTCCATCAAAGAAGATATGAGCAACAGCATAATTCAGCTGAAAGAAGTGGCACTGGATCAAAACGTGTGGCAAAGACTTGGCCCATGGGATTGCTTATAGTCAGACATGACTGAATAGCTGAACAACACCCACTAGACCTAGCCAGCATAGCTAGTTGTGAGGGATGCATGGGGATTGTAAGTCAAATTTCTGGAGGACACATTCCTGCTTTAAAAGGAAGGAAGGAAGGAAGGAAGGAAGGAAGGAAGGAAGGAAGGAAGGAAGGAAGGAAGGAAGGAACAAAAGATGCTTGACTGAACAATGGTTAGCATTATTCCTTGGTTCATCCCAGGAAACAATCCGATGGGGCAAAGTATTTTGCTTATCTTCTCAGTGTAACTCTTGCACACAAAAATGCTGTTCCATTGAAACTGACCAGAATAGCTAGAGACTGGAGAGGAGGAGAAGAAAGCTTTTTGCCATGTACTGTAACTCATATTATGCTCATATTTACATAGGTCTATAACAGAATTTCTTTATTAATAAATGTTGATTGCTTAAAATCAAAACATCACCAACTAAAAACTCATCTCAGTATGGGCAATAGAGAAACTAAATAGAAAAAAAGATCCAGCCCTGATCCAAATAACAGAAAGATGTCAAAATATTACTACATCATGTGCCATAAATGGAGACAGTGTAAGTAAATATGTGTTGGCAGGAGTCCTTGTCTTGACGGTTACTGCTCAGCATGGAAAAATGACAGGACAGAATCATGGTTTCCCTCTCACAGGGTGAAGATGCCAGCAATTCTATGTATCAACTCTTGAATATTTGAATTATAGGCAAACTACTTCATCGGTCATGATGGAGGGGCACTCATCATCTTAAATAGTTATTGAACAAGCTGAGGCCATTACTATCAGGTATATACTTCACCATCAGGACTCAACTATCTTGTTTTCGTTCAGGTGTGCATTCTCACCCATCTGTCTTGAATGTGTGCACTTAATCCAGTTAGTTCACCAGCTTTGCAAAATACATTCAGTATAGTTTAAGATTGATAAATTTGTCCTGACAGAATTTTCCATGATCATAAAGAAAAAGAGTAATGCAGTTGCCCAGTTGGAACTAAATCACCTCTAACCCATACCAATGTTTTCTAGCTGCATCACAACCTCTCTGTAAAAGTTTCTTGCACAAATCTGCTATTAGGCATTTCAGTTGATTAAACTCAATGCATATGAACAGTAATTAAGTGCATATGAAACAGCATTTCTCTACAAAAAGGAGGAAGTGGGCAACCTTAGCTTTACCAGTTCATTGGAGGTAATGCCAGTTTCAGAGTTAAGAAAGGCCCCAGTCTGCACCCAAAGGGTTGTACCACTAGAGAAAACTTCCTCATGGTGTCAGCCCTTCTCAAAGCAGTAATGGGGGCACTGATGGGGATACCACTCCTGTTGCCTGCTTTATGTTCCTAGTAAGGCCCTTCTCAGTCAGAGCATAAGATTGTCCTCTGTCCTGTTCACTTGCTGTTTGCCATGGTTCCCTGCACCCAAATCCTACTTGGATTGTGCCTGGTGGTGTAGCCAATCATAAGCAATGCAGCAGCCAAGTGGCTACAGAAGCCAGCACAAGCGGCAGGGAAAAGCGTGCAGACAAATGAGCAGGAAAGAGGCAGTGACTTTGACGGCCCTACACAGTCCGTGATTTGCCTAATTGACGAACAAGGCTTTAGGCTAAATGTATATACTTGTGGCTTTGATGATAAGATTTATGTTGCATAGTACATTGTTTGTGAAAGCAGACATAAATCTGTGAGTGTTGGACAGGTGGCATAGTATAACCTCTCTAACTGCGTAATTTATTCTTGCTGCTGTCTGATGAAAGAGCCTGTGAACACTTTCAACCTTAGCATGCATTAAGTAAAGTTTCTTCATCAATGAATAATGCATTTTGCTGGAGAAAAGTACTGTGGAATGCATATCAGCTCTCAACATACTAACATGGAGAATGACTTTCAAAATTACATCACAGCTTGGGGCATGAGAGCTTTTTCACGAGGATATATATCATTAGCTAGGGATTCGGCAAGGCAGAATGTTTCTGAAGAGGTGGAAATCTAATCTTTTCTTATTAATGTTCGAACCAGTTCATTCAAATGTGTGTGTGTGTGTGTTTTACTTCATGTGAGCCTGGAGTCACAAGTGGTTGGGAAGGGCAGGCTGCTACTAAATTCCTTTGCCTGCTCCTCCCTCTTTCTTTCCATTAAAAGCAGTTGCTCATCTTGTCTTTAATAGGCCTGCAAGCCAGATGAACTGCCCCTCTGTCTCTTGGTTCCTCCCCCGAAGGTTTCGGCTGACTAGAGGCCTGTCTTTGCGCACAGAACCAGGCCCAGGGCTTTCAAGGTGGCTGGTTCTCAGGGTGGCCTGCTGTGCTTTGTGAACCTAGCAGTGTGGCTTGTTGAAGGCGCCACGGAGCTGCCTGGTAGGAGCAGCAAACATCCCCTGCTGCCATTCTTGGTCTTGCCAGTGCTGCTTCCTGCTTCACTCTTCCCTTATCAGTGATGGCTGCAGCTCTCCCAACACCACAATGGCATTTTGGGATGCCTATTACTCCATCACAAACTTTCTTTTTTTCTTTTTCAGCACTTCTGAAGCAAACTAATGGGTTTGTATTTGTTATTTTATTTCTTTCTCCACCGTATCCCTTTGCAAGTGTACAGATCCATCTGTCTGTGTCGTTTGCAACTGTGCGTTTCCCTTGATAGTGAACCTTGGACCTGTCAAGAGAAGAGCCAAAGCTGAGCAAGTAATATACAAGGAAATTGACAGACTGCAGAGTGCACATAGTGTTCAGGAGAATCAACAACAGTGAGAGAAAACAGGGAAACAACTATAATAAAAGAAAATCCTAAGTGGTGAAGGAGGGAGGGAGGGAGGGAGGTTGGAATCACAAGGAAGAGGGGAACTATTAACTCCATTCCATTTTTATCATCTCACTATTGTGTTTTGTCAGTTTCTTCCCCACTTGATTCGCTTGACCCTGAAATCATATTTTCGCAGCACATACATCCATTTCTGGTGGAAAGGGACCACTGGGCGCTACCACTCTCCTCATCCAATCTGCTTTGCTGAGCAGTCCAATAGCTCTGGTGTTGCAGTTGCCAGGGCTGAAAAATGAAGTTATATAAAGGCAAGTGTTCCTTCAAGCATGTCAAAATGGATTTCTCTTCCATCTGGGGCTAGGCAGAAGGGTTTTCCAGAAAAGCCATGACTTATAAGGAGACTTAAGAGCCGCCACATTGAATAATAATAGGAAAAATCCCAGTGCAGGCTACTGGAATATCAGCCTTTGTCTACTTGAATGTAATGGTTCTGGATGTGTCAACCCTGTGCATAATTACCTGAGAGTAACTCTTAATGAATGTAGTAGGACTTTCTTTGTGAATAAACATGCATAGGGTTGGGCTCTACATACAATAAATTGTGACTGATATATTCACACCCAGTGATGATCCACATTTAGATGTAATCCCATAATCTAGTGTCTTACACAGCATATATTTATATTGAATGTGTTCAGAAAAGCTGATTGTAACTAACTGCTGCATGAATTCCATTTGTCTTTAACCTTATATAGTTTCTGTTGAAACAAAATCCACAAAGAAATATTTCAGTTGTTGTCAACTTATTTCTACTTAAAATTAAATGAAACCAAAGCAAAACAAGCCAAAACAAACCAGACCAGACCAGACCAGACCAGACCAGACCAGACCAAACATGTTATCAGAATGGGAACTAGCATTTTAAAATTATTGGACTACTAAGTACTCCATAGAAGTTCGGCTCCTGTTTCAAAGGTAAGCCCCCCTTCCCACTTTCTTTTTCTTTGCTTTCCCCAAAAGTGGTAAGCAAAAAACAAACAAAAAAAACCAGCATGCAGCAAGACAAAAGGTCTACTGAGGAATTCATAGGCACAATGTTAAATTACACATACAGAGAGAATAACTTCAAGACATCCCCTTCCTTGAGGACAGCTGCTTGTAAAAAATCAATGGAAAATGACCCAGATCACACATTTTTGTTTAATGAAAGTCCTTGATGAGTTAGAGGGTAACCTCTGCTGGTTAACAAATCAAAAAGATTGCCAAAACGGCACTTAGATCATGCTTTGGTTACCCACAGTGGGCTAGGAAAGAAAATTACTAATGAGACAGGAGGTAGGGCAGCCAGTGGGAGCAGCGGAGAGAATATTTTCCCTTTCAAGCTGCAGAAGCTGTCCGTCTCTGCTTCCTCCTGCAAATGCACTGTTGTACTAAGAGAAGCAGCGGTGTCTGACATGCTGGGAACTCTAACTGGGTGTCCGCACCTTTATATTCTTTTTTCATTTTTACTTATACCTTGTCCCTCCTTGGAGCACAGGGTTGGTTCTCCTCCATTTTGTCTTCACAACAACCTTGTGAGGTACGTCAGCCTGAGAGATCACAGGAGAGTCAGGTTTCCCTGGCTGAACTGGGATTTGATCTGGGTCTCCTGAGCCCTAATGCAGTACTTGGACTTCCACTGGATACTGAGACATTCTTTCTCTGCTCCTAGGCTTCGGGCAGGAAGATGAGGATTGCCAGCTTCAGCTCCCAGAATGAATCCTGCCAACATGGATGGATTCTGAGGCAAGGGCTTCTAGCGGCCTCATTTTGCATTAGGAATTTTTACTAAATTAAACAGAATATAGTTCAAAAAACACATGCTCCCTTGTATTTGAAGTCCCCCTTTCCTTTGTTTTGTATCTTTTTAGACTATAAGCTAGTAAGCAGGTATTATTGTTTTTTGGTTTTTCTTTTACTTGATTATATGCAAGCCACTCTGGGTGACTTTTTGTCTGAGAAGCATTATAAAAATACCTCAAATAAATAAATCAGACTAATGAGCTGTTTTATCATCTGCCAAAATACAAAAAATATTGCACATTGTACATTGCATTGTAAGCCCCCTAGGAAGGCCTCAGCAATTATAGGAGGCCTAAAAATACGTGGCTAAATAAATAAATAGTTAAATGAAATATTAATTTCTTATTAATGTGATTCTTATTAATCGCATCTATATCCTGTCCTTTTTCATTCGTGTAAGGAATCCAAGGAGGGTGGCATAGCTCCATTTTATCCTCATAGTAAGTAAGTCCTAAGGTCACCCAGTGCCGTGCGTAGTGGGAACTGCAGCCTGGATCTCCTGCATCCCTAGACCAACACTCAGACCTACTCACTGCCCTGCCTCTTACTGAAACTTATTGTAGCACAGGCAGATTTTTTCCACTTCCTAAACCTATGCTGTGATCATAGATGTGCATATGCAAAGCATTTGCATATCATTAAAACTTTATTTTTTTCATTCTATAGCTCCGACCAATTACAATATCACACATGCATGCACATACGCATATATCCTGAAAGACCCTCAGCAGATATCTCATAAATTTCCTTCACAGCATGACCTATATGACAACTTGTCAAAAAGAAAGAAATCCAGAAATATCTAGATAATTATCTGCTTTATCCACAGTACATGTAAATAAGGCCTATCAATATACCATAGATGATGAATCACCATCCAGGTTTAGACTTTTTTCCTAGTTTAATTAATGAATGCAGCCAACCTTGGGCATGTTTGCTTAGAGAAGTTCATCTCTCTGTGCTCAACAACATGAATTCCAGGTAAGGGTGCACAGGATTGCAGCCATGGACATGATCCTCCACATGTACTCAGAAGCAGGGCTCAGTGAGATCAGTGGGAATTACTCTCATCTAAATGAACAAAATATTAGAGCCTTGATGTTTCTGTTAAGGCTCTAGGCTGGGCCGGGGCAACTTGTTGGCCACCGGATGTTTGTGCTTCTAATTCCTATCAGCCCTAGGCAGCATAACCTCTGACATGGGGACAGTAGAAGCTGTAGGTTAAAATATTTGGTGGTCCTTATGTTGTCCACCTCTGGTCTTATATATATATGGAACCACACAGTTTCTTCCTTTCTGCAAGTAGTTCGATACTATTTTTCAGCATGAAATAAAAAAATTCAAGAGGAGAAAGAAGAGAAGAGGATTTATCTAGTCTTATGCTTGTGAAAGGAAAAAAAGGAGTTGAAAGTCTTTTCCTTTAAAGTAACTAATATGTTGATAGCCTGGGAATTTGAATCAATGGTCACCAATCAATATTACACACACACACACACACACACACACACAGAGTGAGAGAGAGAGGGAGAGAGGGAGAGGCGGGGGGAGGGAGAGAGAGGTACAATTTCCCTCCACTCTGCGTACTGTTGTCTGGAAAGCCATGCATGGGGCCTGGAAATCAATGTGCAATGTTTGTGAACTTTTTGAACAGAAACTTGGACAGGCAGAGAAACAAATTTTATGTAAGGTTCTTTTTAAACAGGAAGATATGAATCAATCAGATATTATTCTTTAGAAACCCTTCAGTAACTATAATGTTGTAAATGAATGGACATCTCAGTATCATGAAAAAAAGTTTTCTGAAAACATCTGTCTGGAAAGGAAACATTCCTTAATATTCCTGAATCCCATTACTGAAACATCTGTTAGGACAGAGAGCATTGTGTCTACTGCTATAGGGTAATTAACTGAATATACTAAATCTGTTCTACTTCTCTCATTCTAGCCTTCATTTTTGGACCCCCTTGCTATTTACTTGACATTCAAAGCTTTACTATGGTTATAAAGAGCATGGCAAGCCACCATCTCGGAAAACATGCATCGACCGGAAAACGTGAGTTGACTAGCAACCACCTTCCATGTAATTCTGAGGATCTTTAAAAGACCAGACTTGACTGATCTCCACCATCTCAGAAATGATTGCCTGGCTCACAAAAATGCTTTCCAAATTAAAACAAAAGCAAACACTGCCAGTCTGACAATTCTACTGCCTACTACTAAGTAGTTTATAGTGTATAGTGTCAATAAGTTCTCACAGACTTGTATTCCTAGCTTATGGTATCTTATTTTTATGACATAATTTTAAATCTCTTTCCCCTGTCAGTAAAAAGGGGAAATATCTATGATTAAGTCTATAATTCTGATTTTAAAATGGTCATGCAAGTGAATTCAGTTCTCTCTTGTTAAGGTGCCTCAGTCTTGCCAATTGTTTGCATACTCCAGAAGTCTCTAGAATTAGGCAGTGTTTGAGTTCACGCAATGAAACCTCACACAATGTGGGTCTAGATCAGACTTCTTGTGTGCATTCCACAATGAAAATGAGAACAATCTAACCTACTAGACAGAAATTTGAAATAACGTCTGTGTTTGCCTGCGTGTCATCATGGCCACCGTTGTTGAGTTATATGAAAACTGATGCATGTTTGTTAGGTGCCCAAGAAATTGTATTGCATTTTTATAGTATTTGTATTGTTATTTTGTGTTTCAAATTTCATTTTACTGTATTTTAGCTGCTGTTGTAAAGTGCTCATAGAACTTTGGCTATCAGGTGGTATTAAATCATAATGACAAAGAGGAAGAGGAGGAGATGACAGAAGAAGAAACTTTTTTGCTGCAGCATTCTGGCTTTGACTGTTTGTTTTAGCTATCATTTAATTTCATATTGAAATAAGATTATGTCGATTTAGTTCAGCACAACCAGAGGCACTATATATATGATTTCTGATCTTATATTTCAGTTGTAAATGAGCTGTGAGTTTCTCTTGGCATTTTCAAGATGTGCAGCAGATGGCGCCATTCCTCCCTTTGTTGCAGCATTGAAATAAGGTATTGTTAGCAGAGTTTTTTCAAAGCAACACTACAGACTCTTCAATCGTGCTTCCTAAGCTAGTGGAACAATTGAAGTTACACTTTTGGAATAATACTTTGTTAACTATTCTCGTTTGCTTTATGGAACATAAAATCTGCACAATCCTTCTGCAAATGAAGGTGACTCTTGCAATGGAACTAAAATCTCCATAAACTGAATATTGATTTTGTGGATTCAGTAGTGTTACCAGCACTTTTATAGTAGTTATAATAATGGTAGGAGACAACCACCACTTTTTAAAGGAACAGAGTCAGCTCTTTTACAAATTCATGCATAGTGGAGAAGGTGCAGAAATGCTAAGATGAAACTACAGCCATAACATGCATGCTCTTCCATGAGAACACAGATGAGGTGCAGTTTGTAAGCCCAGCCTAAGAAATGCTTTTGGAAAGTGTGGGCTTGGGATCTCCAAGGGTTTGGAAAAACCAAAAGTCTTCCTTCTGTTACGTTTCTCTGCTTAGGGCTCTAAGGATCTACTCTTGTGTTCAGAAAATGATTATACCCCATTCCAACATCAGCTTCTAGTGGTGGATGAAGGTTGTGGCAAGCCCCCGTATTCTGAGGAAGCCCAGAAATGTCATCTAGAATATCTGAGATATCTCGCTCTTGCGATAAACCCTCAATAAGAAGCTGTCTTGAATTATTTATCTGAATAAATAACCTGGATTTAATTTTTTGTTCAAAAAAGGCTGTTGATCAGAACTAGTTTTTTTGATAATGTAAGTGTAGAACTGTGAAGTAGGTAGAAGCAGTTGTCAATCTGGTTTTATTTTCATTTCTTCACAGTCTGCTCCTTAGCCTTTTTCCCCCAGTTCATTTTTACATTCTCCCTCTTTTGGTCTCCAAGCTTACACCACTTTTCCCAGACAACCTCTTTCATGAACCCAAAGAGGGGTGGGAAGAGAGGTAAACAAGATCTCTCTCTCCAGCTGCATGAAGAGATGAGAACCTCCTTGGATGCAGGCTAAAACATGGCTGTTATAGAACACCAACCAGAATTGACTACAAGTATTTTGCCATTTTGATTTTTGTTAACTGCTCAGATTCTGTTCTTTGCTCATGTACATACAGTGGTGATAAAAGCATTTCAGCTATATTGTATGCAATCATACACAGCTTTAGTAACTGCTCACTAAATAAGAGGTTGTAAATATCATTTATAAACATACATCTGAAAAGCAAACAATTGAGTGCCAGCAGTACGGTGAAATAAATCATGCGCACAGCAAACACAATACCTTTCTCCACTTACTGTCAATGGCAAACCTATGTGTGGCTTTTGGGATTATCCTCACTTTCCTTGTCAGGTCTTCTGCAATCGTCTTCTTAAGTCTTTTGACCTAAAAAACATCAGGAGAGCTAGTCTAGCATCTGACACTGGATTCCTAAAAGTTATTACACACAGTCCTAGATGGCAATAGGATTCCAAGCTCCAACCTTGCTGAAAGGTGTTGAAAGGTGCTGAAAGTTGGAGCTGGGACTTCAGACTCAGAATGCCCACCCAGCCAGCACAGAAAGAACTGCTGTGGTTCAGCTCAAAGGTTGCAATGTGGCCTTGTAGATGAGCTCTTTGGGGTGTGAAGAAAAGCACATGAAATATGTGGCAGGCTTTTCCTGGCTTCCCACCCACTCTGAGGCTGAACACTTATCATCAGTGTGAGAGTTTTGCATAGCAGGAAGAGCACAGAAGAAAACTTTGCCTCCAGATGCTTCGCACCATGCATAAGATGCCTGTAAAACTCCAAGTTCAGAAGGACAAGGACAGTCTCCTTGGATTGCACTCTTAGAAGATCCTCACAATTTTTATAACATAATTTACAAAACTCCAAAAATGCACAAATATATAATAGATAACACACATACATAATGTATATCTAGTTAATATTTCCCAGGAAAGATAAATAAGTAAAGAAGCAAGAACTACAGAATATCACCATCCATTATAATCTTTTTGATCTTCAACATCAAACTAAGTTACCGATTATTTATTCATATTCATTTGGTAATTAATTGTAAACTTGAATAGGGTCTAATATTGTCATTGCAAAATATGGTGAATGTTGATGGTGTCTGCAAAATGATTTTTCAGATCTTGGCTAATTCTTATTTTTTATTAAAAGTGGAATAATAAATTGACACTTTATAACTCTGTAAGTCGACAAAGGGAAAATGTGAGGATACTTGTTGAGTTTGATCCTGCAAATTAATGTTTCAGCAAAGAATGTAAATCTCTCTAAAAGAGAAATGAGATATTCGGGGAAAATGAAATAAAAACTACGAGGACAACATTTGGATTCACAGATGCAAAGAGGCTGCCATTCGGAGCTCACCATGTTGTTTCCAAGACTTGGTTCTGCAATTGTTAAAGAGAACCTTCTGTAACAATAACTTTTCACACTGAGTTTGTTTTTTTTTAAGTAACCAACACAATATTTTCATGTCATTTATATTTAGCAATGCATTTATATTCAAACATACAAAAGCAACACTGCTCTTTTCAACAAAACAGTAACGGTCAAATATTAACAACACAATCTCAAGAAACATGTCAAAAACAATGTTGCATTTAGTAACATTAATACAGCAGCCTAAAGTTGCAGAAAAGTTTTCTGAAACAGGTCGATTCATTCTCTTTTTCAAAGCCCTTTAAAGATTTTTTTGAAATTAAAAAAGTCAAACTGTTGAAAGTGAATTCTGTAGCACAGTTTTCCCCACTATGGTCCTAATTTTTTAATTTTACACTACATACCGTAAGGAGGTTCAGTGGTATGTCTTAGAGCATGACTTCATGTGGCATTTCTTGGGGAATTGGATGAGTGTATGCAATCTTTGTAGTAGAGATGATACTAAGAAGCCGCCCATGTCAGGAGATTAGGGGAAGACTGGTTCTCGGAGATCTCCACTACCCCATCTCCACAGGAAGATCTGTCTCTGAAGCAAAGGCCAAGCTACTAGCTAGTGCCCTAGAATGTTGTTGTATTAAAATTCTCTTTTCTCCTGCTTTGAGAGGACAAGATTTGTATGTACACCTGGGCAAACAGAATATTCATAATAATGCTACATATAATGTGACTTCTTGAAATGCCAAGGGACTGCACAATTCAGTTAGACAGAAAAAGCAGTTTCTAAGCTAAAAGAACATGGATTTTGTTTGTGTGTTTTCTTTTTTTACTGCAAATGCACCTGATGGCAGCAATTACATAGCAAGTGAAAAGAGACTGGGTGGGAAAGGTTCATGCAACAGGTATGTTGATCAGGTTTGTGGAGGTAGCAATCTTAACCTAGTGATGCTTTCTTCTTTGTTTGTTTTGGCAATGCCGAATGCCATCTTCCTTTGGACGGAGGTAATAATTCAGATAAACCTTATGATGGAATGTTCTTTACCATTTAAGGAGATACATGTTCTTTTGAATTACCCATCTATTTCTGGGAATTTAATGCAAGGTAAATGTAAATGGATTTTCCATGTCCTTTTTAAAGCTAATAATCTAATATTATTGGGATATATGCCCAGCTGCAATAACACATGGGCTGGAGGCTTCAGTGAAAGTTCCATTTTTAAATTGGTGGGCTTTAAGGCATAATCTATAAATGGGTAAATATATGACTATTTGGGATGCCTTAGTGATGTATATGCTTAAACATTTTTAATACTGGTATTATTTTAATGTGTGTGTGTGTTTAGAACTAGTGCTATGAATCTTTTTGGATTTCATTAACAAACTGTCATGTTTTAGACCTGTTCTTTTTCCCTCCATCTCTAATTGTATAGTTTGGGGTTTTTTGGACTGTACAACAAAAAAAATTAATAAATTAGGAAAGGGGAATTGCTGAGTTGCTTGGGAAAGCGAGTATGTTGAGCATGTGGGAGCATGAGGAATACTCATTGCTACCATGACTAATTAAGAGTTAGACAACCAATAGTTAGTCACCCACTATTAGTTATTATGTGTACACTGGGTCATTGGGTTTGTTTGTTTGCTTGCTTTGCACATGCCGCTTTGTAATCCGAGTGAAATAGCAACACAGTTCTGTTCTGTATTAACAGAATTCCGATATGCACACAGCTATCAGGGGAGTTTAAACAAATGGTTAAGGACCTGATTCCAGCTGCATGTGTGTGGATCCATGACAGACTGTGTGGACTGGCCCTGGCTGCACCTACTTTGCTTTGGCCGCATCCATACTTTTACAGGGACTGGGACTCAACTCTCAGACTGAAAAAGCATCTCTACCCTGCCTTAGTCACTATTCTTTCCACCTACACTGCCCCAGTTTTTCCCTCTATTGGAGAAATTCTTCTGGGTTAGTGTTAGGTTGCCACGGTGTTAAAATTAATGCTCATGGCTGAAATCCAGTTGCAAGTATTCCCTCCCCCACCCCCCTGCCCTCGCCCTGCATAAGCTCAGAGAAATGATTTTGTAATCTAGGAACAAACAGTGCTTGATAGCAACCTTTAAATTATATTAGCAACATTCACACTGTATTAGTAAACCCCCTCTCATTAGAAAATTGTATTTTCTAGCAGTTGGTAATAGGATGCAGAAATACTAATATGATTAGGGAATGACTTGATAATAGGATTTTTTATACTAGTAGATTTTATTCTGTGCCAGCCAAGAAGATTTCCCTAATATAATATAATAAAAAAGAAAAAAGAAGAAACCCCTCAGTCTTCCATGTCAAAACTGGAGCTTACAATCCAGAAGAAAGTTCAGGAAGCCTGCAATTTACAAAAACTAAAGCTATCCATAATTATGGTGTCACCTTATGTCCATACCAAAGGTTTTGCCCTACAGAAGCCAACTAGAGAAGTGCTTCTGAAAACTTGCAGACATGGGAATCTTTCTTTGATGCAGAGTTTGCTTTTGAAGAGCTAAAAATTAAGGAACTGTACTCTCTTTTCAGCGAACCTGCTGTGGTTTGAGCTGAACAGTGTTTTTAGGACTCTGGTGCATTGGGACATGAGCAAAAATACAATCAGCATGGCCTTCTCAACCCTTTTGGGCTGGAGCTTCCTAGCTGACTCATACTATTCTATGTGCATAAAGGTGGTGATGGGCTATTCCAAACAAATGACTTTATTATTCTCTGCTTCTAGAATCACAGATTCTAAGAGATGTACGTGTGCCTCAGTAGCTGATGTTAGTGGGTGGCTCGAGTCTTCTCTGCATAGATAGTCATTATATATCTTAAGTCATATAAGGGTTTCAGATGATAGCTCAAACTTTAAATCGTACTCAGAAATGTTGACAGAACAATGGAACAATCTGCTCCACACACTATTACTACTTTCCTTGCTTTCCCTATCAGGTTGCATTAAAAGAGTTGGAATTCTACTTCTCTCCCCTGCAGTATTCATTCTGAAAATGTAGAAAAAAGAGAGTTTATGCTGCCCGACAGAGGTTGCCTAGTGCTACAATTTAGAAGGCAACCTTTGTTCTTTCTTCACAGATTTTTGTGGTATGGAAAACAATGAGAGATATTGTGGAGGTTTCCAGTAGGAGGCGATGTCATTGGAGTCCCACCCGCTAAAACCATGTGAAGGAGGCAGGCTGCTGGTGCAACAAAAGTCTCTTGTAGAAGCACCTCCAGACCAGTCTATATGCATTGCTTTCCCTTTCCTCCTCCTTCGTGACACCAAGTGTCTCTGTGCCAGTATTGGCTCTCTCACTCCATGTCAGGAGGAAGTGGAAGCTGAATCCAATTGAAACAACACCCCCAAAAGATCTAGGACATCCTTTGAACTGGAAATGCCAGGAACTGGGACCTTCTGTCTGCAAAGTATGTGTGCCACCTCTTAGCACCTGGGTTATTCAATGTGCTGGTTTTAACCTTTAAGGCCTTCAATGGCCAAGTTACTTGATGGGTTGCCTTCTTCCATATCCACCAGCTCACACTTTGAGGTCATCAACAGATACCATTCACAGTTGTGGTCATTCAGGCTGATGAGTACAAGGGAGCAGGTCTTCTTACGTGCACTCTAGAATCTGGTCCTAGCAGGCATTCATCAAGCTGCTTCTTTGTACATCTCCAAGAAAATTCTGAGGACTCATTTGTTCTTTGCTTCCCTTAATCTGTGGACTGTGGGTTTTCTTGGTGTAATCTGCTTTTATAATGCCTTTTATTATCTTACATATATTTGTCTGATTGGATATGTCACTATTTTTTATCATGTGTGCTGCCCTTAAAGAGATGTTTTTCCCCTTAAAGACTGCCTAAAAATAAGTATAAATATGTAAATTCCACCCTCCTTGTACTAGTTGGGGAAGGCAACCTTCCTTCAAATTGTTGAGTGTTGCTCAGCTAGAGAGCATTTCTTTGAACATTTCACTTTTTCTTGAGACAGACCATGAAGGATTTAATGCCTAAATATTGTGCATAAATATAATACAATAATAATCATGATGTGGAGGATGTAAATTTTGCCTCAACTAGAAAATGGCATTATTATTATTATATGTACCATTAATATTATTAATACCCATGCTTTATGCAATTAGAGTTTTAATGGGCTAGTCTTACGATGCAATAAAGCAGGAGAACAAAGTTTAACTGGCTTATGACTTCATTAAAGAGCTATAATTGTAACTTTGCAATCAGAATATGCAAAATTTTGGACTGGTGATGGTTTAGACAGAAAAAAAGCTATTGGCAGTGTTTTGTCATGATTTTTGTGGTTTATTCTCAATAAACTGATGCTTGTTATGGGAATTCTTAAGTAGTTTGAAAAAGATTATTTCTTATAAATTTTATTATTCAATTTATAAACTGTTCCATGTGAAGGTAGATCAGAGTTGTGTGCAATGGATTTAAGTGCAAAATACAAAGTCACAGCAAAAGCAAATGACTCAGAGGAAATGGGGCTAGAATCTATTCATCAGTCAGAAAATGCTTGCTGAAAAGAAAGTCTTTATCCAGTGCCAAAAATTAAGTAGTGTAGGTTCTATCCTGATTTCAGTTGGAAGACATCCCACAGAGTGGGATATTAAGGTCTGAAAATGTCAGCTGGTCTTTTAGTTCATTATCAATGTGCCATAAGCAATAACTTGGCCATTAAAAACACTACTGGTAAAGGAAAGAATATGTAGCTGTCAATCCCATGTCTGTACTTGGAAGACTAGAAAACTGTCAACAATGTCTGGGAAATAATAGGCCACCTCCACATGACAAACCCGTTACAGTCTGATTAACATGTCCCAGTGCAATCTGCAATGTCAAAGTGGGAAATAGAACCGTATTTACTATTATTGCATTGAGGGGAGTTGTGAAGTACACTAGTAACAACTACTCACAAGGGATTATCCAGGGTTTCAGGCAGTATTGATCATGCTATTTTTCATGTTCTTCCATGCAGTTGTGGATACATTGGTTTCATTTTTATTGCAAGTAGATACTAAAAAGAAGGTATACATGAATATGGTTTTTGCAAAGTTTAGAGTATGACAATATGTGGAGTTATACCCAGAGTTCATGTGAGCCGTGTGCTTCTGCTGAAAGAAGGACCAGGGCTGGCAATTTTTGCAGTTATTCTGGTGGAACTCTCCAAAGTACTGAAGGGAAGAAGTAGAAATATGCTCTTCTCCAGGTTATCAGTGGGAGCTTTTGCTGGATATGAGTCCCTGCTATGGATGAAGGAAAACCTTCATGGAAGTGATACTTTTGGACCAGCCTGTGGTATACAGGAAGGGTGGGTAACATATGACCTACAGCTTACATGTGGCCCTCCCAATACCACCCACTTTCTCCTCTGCTGAATTTGCTGCTGTGGCACCAAAGCTCACAATAATCTTCTGAGGAGATATGTTACTTACCATATTTCTGGAAACCTCCCAAAAGCATGATCCTGCTTGGAGATAAGGTATGCACTTTGAATGCTTTTTTCCTCTTACAAAATTGCTGAAGATTTTGCTGCCATGACCTTCTGGCCCCCAGATACTGGAGAACAGAATCAAATATTATATAAAGAATCATACATTTGATTAATGTGATATTTGAAAAGCACATATTAAAAACAGTATCAGTGAAAACAAACTTAATCAATACTGAATTGATCCTTTGGTCATCCTAACAATAACTCTGCAAGAAATACTACAAGTTTTCCTATTTTACAGGTTGGGAAATGTGAGTGATATTTTTCAAATGATTATTGACCAAATGTCAAATGACAGATCACAGAGTACAACAGAAAGCGCTTTCGTATGGCAACACATCACTTTAAACCCTCAGCTCAGGATCCAAAGGTCTGTGCAACTAGGACTGTGCAACTGCATATTCAAGGGGATTTTGGACTAGACTTAGCTGAGTTACTTGGACTCACAGAAAAGCTGAGCTGGAAGAAGCCAAGAAAACCATCGGGTCCAACCTCCTGCTCGATGCACAACTCCAGGTGAAAGCATTGCTAACAGATGGCTGTCCAGCTGCATCTTGAATGCCTTCAGTGTTGTAGAGTCCATGGCCTACCTATTTAATGGGTTTCGTTGTATTGCTGTGTCAGGATCTGAACTGCTCTGTGAATCTATTTGCTGATAGAAACAAAATAGCTTCAGCAGGGAGTACGGGTACGGGATGGGGACCCCAGTTCCACTAGAGCTCTCTGACCCTAATGAGCATCTGTGGGGAGACCTGGGTGAGGACAGGCTCTTCCCTCCAGTCTTACCTTGGCACCAAATGTCTTCCCAGCTTGCTGTGGTGTTTGTGCCTTCTGGACTCTTGCTTTCTGGACTCCTACCCTGCATCACTGGACCCTGTCCACTTACCTGCCTTGCCCTGTTCCTGGATCCTGCTGGCATTCCCTCACCCAGCTACCTGTGCTTATACAGACCTCCTTGTTTTGCTGTTCCTTCCTTTGTCTTGTCTTCTTGGAATTTGACTTTTGGACTGTTCCTTGACCACATCTGTGCTTCTGGCTCTTCACTGGGCTTGGGACTGTCCTTGGACTATGGCTTTGCCTCTGGCCCTCTGCTGGACTCTGCCTGGCCCTATGCTCTGTCACCTGGGCCCTGCTCTGATCCCAACTCCCAGTCCTGGGCCCTGACACTCTAAAGGTCATGACGTTTTCCCCATGCTCATCTGGAACCTGGCTTGCAGTAATTTGAGCTTGCTATTTGAAGAATGCACTCCTGTGCCATAAGGCAAACAACTTCCAAATCCCAGAGAATTTTCAAAAGTATGGGAGAGTTAAAGATAAAAAGTACATTGGACATATCCAAGTCTTTGGTCAATGCAAGTCTTTTATTTTTTATGGTGTCAGTGTTATTTGAGAATACTCAATTTTTAATCCCCTCCTTACTGACCAACATAGCTACTTCTACTTCCCTTAGTTAAAAACAAATTCTGCAGTCATTTGCTTCTGCAGCTACACAAGCATCCTGAGAGAGAGAGAAAGAGAGAGAAACAAGATTTATTATATAAACTCACCTCAAGTTTACACCATTTTGATATCAGCTAATACTTATAATCCCTGTAGAAATAGTTAACAAGGAGGAAATGGCTATTAGTCATGATGGCTATATGTCACCTCCATTACTGGAAGCAGCATGTCTCTGAATACCAATTGCTGGAGATCATGGGTGGAACAGTGCTATTGTGCTCTCATCCTGTATGTTGCTTCCCTGTGAAAGATAGGAAAAGAAAAGAGAACTAGAATGCATTGTCTTTCTTGTCTGATATTAAAGCCCCCTGAAGACTACCTTTCTCCACAAAATCTGAAACTGGAATTCAGAAACAACTGGAAATGTAAATACTGGTAAATACATGCAGCAAGAAGCCATATTCTTGTAAAACGGAGTTGTGCTTTTGGTATTTCATAAGTCAGCTAAAGAATACTATGTTTTATTTATTATCATTCTTGAATATATTTTAATTTTTCATTATAGATATTTCTTCAAAGATCAAGGCACTTGAGCCATCCTGGGGGAGAAACATACCTCAAAGGGTATCTCTGAATGTCCTGATTAGCTGAAGTTGTTGGTGGTGGGGGTACCGGAGTGCACCATCTTCAACTTGAGCTGTGTCTCTAAGGATGTGGTTAGGAGCTGAGTTTGAACATGATTTTAAAGTTTCACTTTGGGAATAGCCCCACTTATGTTATAGAAATGTCTGCAAAAATGCATGAGTTAGGCATAATATTGTTTGAAGAGTAGGATTGTTCTTGAAAAGAACATCAGATTGGGATGATGCTATTGTAAACAAAAGCATTTCCAGTTTGGAGAATTTTTATGCAAGATGGATAAATTTCCCACTGTTTGAAAATATAGTTTTCTCATTCACATGATTATATTACACAATATGTCGAAGCCCTGTTGAAATAAACAGAACTTGGGCTGAAGACTGCAGTCATTATTACTACTGAGTAAATTCCATTATTACTATATGAGTACTCCAGTCCTTATTACTACTGCTTCACACAGCACACAGCCGGACTACTTTAAATGGCTAAGGGGAATGCATGGAGGACTAGTAGTCCTACCCCCAATATCAGGGCAGTCTGCCTAGGTATCCCAGTTGGTCTGGAGGGTATCCTTACACTCATGCCCTACCTGTGGGATCCCATGGGCAGATGACGGGCTATTGTGTGAGCAGAATCCTGGACTAGATGATCTGAACCAGCATGGCTCTTCTGATGTCCTTATGTTGGAAATGCACTTACAGAGAACAGGTCCCAAGACAGCACATGACCTCATGCTGGATTGCCACCATTGAAACACATTTTTTCCCCACACATTTCAGATTAAATCCATGGCTTTCCTTTCTTCTATCGCAATGGTATTAGTTATCTTTGAATGGGAAAGTATTTAGTATTTCCTGTTTTAGAAACAAATATAAGTGTTCTTGCTTTCTCCTCTTCCTTTCTATTTTCTTTGTTTCTCTCTTTCTTTTGACTCTTATCTGTGGCACTTCCCCACTACCTTCTTTTAGTCACATTCATGGATTCCCCCACCCCTTTCTTCACCTATAGTCATGTGCACTGAATAGTGAGAGGAAATAATTCAGCGGGTTTCGTTCAGTCTTAGCACGTATGGGCTGGGGATGGGGGAGAAGGCCCGCCTAGAACATACAGGACCAAGAGAGTAGTTGGCCTTCCAGCAAAATTATAATTTGTCACCTTTTTTATTTAGATCTTGCTATTTCCCTCCTTCAGTAGTATGTCAGCAGAGTCATTTTCCTTTGTGTGTCTGTGAATATTCCTAAGTGTGAGTGATTAATATCTCCACCCTATGACGGCCCAGTGCAGGTTTTCATTTTGCAATGGCTGCCAGTGAAGCATGTAACATACTAAGCAGATTTTATCGAGCACATTTACTGTAGCAGATACCAATTTTTAGGCATCAGCTCTTTGATACATGCCAATTTTTCTAACCAGGCTCCAGTACTTGAAAAACCCTTGGAGATCAATGGCTTTGAAGTGCTACCTATGTTCTTCTGAATTAAGCAAAGACTGAAAGTAATCACTCTTCCTTGGTTTAGCACATTTTAAACCATCTACAAAGGCTCAGAGTGCTCCAATGGAGAAATATTTGGATCTGGCAGATCTACACTGAAATATGGCATGAACTCCTTGCAATGAGTTTCTATCAGATGAGTATCTATTTGAAGGAAAAACAATGCCTGGCATTATAAAAGTTGCAGATGAAAGAGACTGCAGCATATTGTGCATAACAAAAGATGGCATGTGACCTGCATTAATACTCAAGCTTTTTTTATCTGATCTA